ATAAGAGGGTAATTATAAACACAGAATTTATATTCTGGGCATTCATTTGCATAATTATTCAGCACTTTATGTGGGCCTCAGGAACACACCATTAGATAAATGAGTGCCAAATACGAGCCTAACGTTTAATTTAATGATTATTGCCTCAAAAATAATCAATTGAACAAATGTTTGCCCAAATTATTGTCACTCATTGGGCTAAATGCGATGGAAAACGTAGAAATTGTTGTTAAAAAACGGCTAATGATTTAATTGCCACTAATTTTTGATGAAAACTCTTAAGAAATGCAATTTTCACTCTCAAGACGTTAATTCCTGTGTTGACTACAATTCAAGCGACAATTAGCTGTAAAATCATTACACTTTTGTTTGGCAGTAATTTTTTATCTAAACTTTTTTGTTGTTGAGACAAAATGTTTGTTAAGACAATTGAATTACAATACAATTGTTTTTTGTGTTTTGCGATAAACTTTTTTGTATTTTATTTCTCTTTTACTTTTTTGTTATCAAAAACTTCGTGTACAGTATATATCGATGAGATCTCAAACATTTCACTCATATGCTAGAAATTGATTTCATTTTAAAATATCATTTAATGCATTAATGATAAAAATTATTATAATACTAATAGAAAAAACTTTTTATTACATTATATTTATAACGACAGTATTAATTGGTTTTTTCAATACATAATCAATAAAATCCTTTACAATAATCATAATAAATGACTAATTCATTGATAATTCTCTGTATATTTCGTTTTACAAATTTAAATAATTAAAAAACATTTGTCTTTACATTGAAGTTATCGTAATTAAGATGCCGTTTGCATACATCTCGAGTAATTAAATACAGATTCAAATCATGTTTGCATTCAGTATTAAGTAACAAAATAAATAAACATTTTCTGTTGTGTTTATTTGACTTATAGTTATCTCATATAATATAAAAATGAAAACAAATAGGCGATCATCGGATACGATGAACATATATGTCGACAAAATGAGACCAACTTTGATTTTATTTGACAAAAAACTTTTATCAGATTATAAATTGTCCGAGTTAAACTGAAAATTGTATTTTCATGTAATGTACAGTAGTTTATTGTTTTGTGTTTTAATAGCAAAATTCTTATACATATTCTGAACACAGAATCTCATGCTTTTTTAATATTACTTACATTTTATGGATAATCCATTGACTGTTATAATTTACAAACAATTTGTATATACCTTGATGACAAATGTGTCAAATATTTTGATATTCAGGTTTCACTTTTTTATAATCAATTATAATAAACGTACAAAAAATAACATTTCCTTAAACTTATACATAATCTAAACAACAATTTTCTCTCGCATTTGTAATTTCTATTAAATCGATAGCTAATGTTAGGCGATATCAAAGTTAAATCAAAATCAAGTCGTAAAACGTAAAGCACACACAAATTGTTATTATTATCTAATCATGGGCAAACTAAAATACAAAACCATATATATTTAAGTATAAAACATTTGTGGCAATAATTTAGACCCAAATATGGACTATAGACTTGAAACTGAAGTTTCATTTCATTAGTTATTCAAAATCTGGTCGATTTCTATGGCAGTCATCTGTGGCAGTAAATCGTTGCTATAATGTGCAGCACCGGTAGTATCTGTACCTTCAGCACTACTATCTCTATAATCAAACTCCTGGTGCTCGACACCACTGGCCACCACCGTGGCACTTGATCTCATTATGGATATATCGTGTGCCGTATAATTGAGTGCAACCTCATGGCTATTAATAGGATGTAGTTCCTGAAAGGTGCGGCCCTCGCAATCCATTTCCACCATATTTGGTGTCATATCGACGTTCATGTCATTACCGTTGATGGGCTGTAGTATGAGCGCCGGCTCCTCCGTCTCACTCACAGATAGCAATGAATCAAATCGTAATATTTGCATATTTTTTGTCGATTTTGACAATGAATTCTCGTTTTCATATTCATTAGTATGATAGCCAGCGCTGTCATCATAACCATTAGCCCCTAACCCATCAGCGCCTGACTCCTCATTTGGGCTAAATTTTTCATTTTTCACGCAATTATTATGGCTTTTATCGATAATATGATGATTATTATTGCTGTTATTATTATTGTAGTCTAAACTAGTGATAGGCATTGGGTTTGCGTTGAAATTATTGTCATTAGTTTTGAACAGTTGTCGCATCACTTTAATCACATCGAAAGGTAGGGACAGGCGTTTGCACTCCATCTTAGTCTCAATGAGTCTGATTTGTCTGAACCACATCCTCGAGTTCAGCTCAGACTTTCGCAGGTGTGCTAATACGTTGCCATTTGATGGCGATTTGGACAGACACTGGCACCGGGAGTTCGCCAACTCTGACCTCAATAGACACAACAACTTATACTTCTTTCGCAATAGATTCTGAGTGTTTCGCAGGTTTTCAATCTCATTGTCTCGACATTTAGCCACTTCTTCATCACTGGATGAACCGATTGATGAATTGGATTCTGAGGGGCAGGAGGTTTACCACCAAACAAAACATTATAAACATTTAAATATCAGTTTTTATACAAAAAATACAAAAATATTTAAACCAAAGTTTCTTACATACCATTTGAGCTATGAATTAGCGATTGATATGATTTGTGGGACAACTGGTTAGATATGATGTCGATCTGGGATCGGATCACTTTTGTCAGATCCATGTCCTTCGCAGCACAGGTACACAAATCTATGATTATTTGCAGACAATTGTTGGCATTAATGTACTCCGAGTTCGCATTCTTGTGGCTCCAAATCAATGCCTCCGAGTCCGTGATCTTAGGCCGGGTATCATCACCGGTGGCACCGGTATATTGGAGGTGTTGTTGCTGTAAAAGCATTTCTAGTAATAAATGAGTTTATGTTTGACTTTGAAATACAATTTTCTTTATAAACCTTTTTCTTAGTTTTGTTTTCAAAAACTTTTTGGTGTTTCTCTGTTTAAAAATAGATTTAATTTTTATGTATTCCTTAACCTCTTGTTTGTGAGTAAAAAAGTGAATCTAATTATTATATTTGTGTGAATCGATTGAAATATTTTTTGTATGTTATCGCATGTAAACTATATTTATTTGCCTCTAAATTAGTTAAACATATGTAAAGGTTTTCCTTATTTTGTGGTAAAGTTTTTTCTACACACTTTTGTTTGTCTGTTGATTGAGTTATGGCTTTGAGTACAAAATCAGAGCTCATTATCTATTCATGAATTTCTTATTTTGTTTATTCATTAAACATATTCATAGCAGTAATGAACACAGTATTTGCGCAAAATTATCCCTATATTTAATAAGTGTCGACAAAATTTCCATAATTATGTGTTTGCATTGACTGTTGCCTAAGTTTGTGAAGTTTAAAAGGCATCCATGTCATTTGCATCATATAACTTACGCTCGTATAGACTTGTCTTTTTAACTTTGCATCAAATCTTAACATCAAAAATATTTTCGTTTAAAAATGCAATTTTCATGTTTTGGGACTCAATTCATGTGATGAATCATTAATTGCCAACTTTTTTCGCAATACTATTGTTATTATTCACATAAACTTCATTAATATTTATTTGCGATATTGTTATCTAATTAAAGATTATATTTTAGAAATAAATAAATTTTATTTTTTAGTAAACACTTAATATGAGCCAGTTAATACATAAAATAAATGCATAACATACATTGACAAAAAACCTTCATTAATTATTGATACATTATAAATAATTAACTTGATTAAAAACATAAATTTATGTGAGTTTTAGTTGATCTATCTGTACACCACTTATGGGTTGTTTATCTAAATCGTGATTCTTGTTGATTTGTTCTTGATCATTTTGTTTGTTCACTCCATTCACTGAATTGGCGATTGAATTGATGATGGATTGCTTCAAATTGAGATTAGATTTAATGAGATTTAAGTCGAAATTGATTTTACTATTAATAAGTCTGGCGTCGGCGTTGATCTTTTGCTTCAACAGATCCAACTTCCACTGCTCCACACCTACGATAGCGTTAGCTAACTGTCCAATAGGGTCGGCCAACTTGGCACCGGTAGCCACCCCCGCCGCTGTCTCGGCACTCAGTTGTTGACAGTTTTTACACGAACAGGACGGACAGGGATTGGGAATCGATAGCCCGTTCCCCCCATTATTCTTGGTTAACAAATTCAGGACCACTTGAAGTAGGATTTTAT